GTTCCAATAAGAGTATTTTATTTCCTTTTGTTTGTAGACAGCATCTCACTATGTAGGCTTGGCTGGCTGAGAACTCACATAGTTCCTGCCTTTGCCTCCAAAAGTTGGAATTAAAGCTTATACCACCACACCTGGCTCAAATGAGATTTTTGTATACGTCTTTATGGTAATTTATTTATTTACCTACATACTTATTTTCATGTTTGAGAAAGGGTCTCACAATATAACTCTGGCTGTCCTGGTACTAACTGTGTAGAACAGTCTGACCTCCAACATACAGATTCTCGCACCTGCGACTTCCAGTGGCCAGGACTAAAAAGGATGAGACAATACACTTGGCTGTTTCACAGTTTTTGAAATATTTGATAAAAAATGTTATTGTTGAGTGTGTATGTTTATACTCAGCTGCATATGGGTACCCTTGGAGGCCACAATCATCCTTGGACTTGGAGTTATAGATTGTTGTTGGACAGCTGGATAGCTGCTGGAAACTGAATGCAAGTCCTCTGAAGACCAGGAAGAGATCTTAACTGCTGAGCCGCATCTCCAGCACCTTACTCTTAATTTTTTGATAGTTTTGTACACTTAATGTACACATAATGTACATAATTTTGTACACATAATGACTTTTAGTCCTGTTCTCTCCCATATTCCCTTTCCATCTCCCTCTCTCTTGCTAAGCTCCTTAACAAGTCTTGTTTTTATGTCTTATGTGTGCCCCACTGAGTGTAAGTCAGGGCTTGCTCAAGTGCGGATTAGAGATTTAGCTACTGAAGAGCAAATTGCCTGAGCATATACCACTGAAAAGAGGACTGCTCCTCCCCAATGACCATGAATTGCCAATAGCCCTCTACTGGATATGTGGAAATTCCTGTTTCCTTCCACTATCCATGATGAAATTCTCACAGGCCCAATCTTGTGCAGATCTGGTACTGATAACCATAGGTATAGTGAGTTCTTAACACACACAGTATTTTTTTTTCAGACAGTGTATATTTATGTGGCCCTGGATATTCTGGAACTCTACGCAGACCTGGCTGTCCGCTATCTCAGCGTGCTACCTCTGCCTCCTGTGCCAAGAATAAAGACATATTCAACTACACACTTTTTCCATCCTTTGTCTTTGTTCTGACCACTCTTCACTATTCCCTGGTCCTTTGAGAAAGTGTTATCTCTGACCCATTTAGGAATCAACACTCTACTTGGTCAGGTATGGGTTTCTAAGCCATTAGTAAGAAGCATCTCTGATGAATGTAGACAGCATTAATCTCTGGGTGTGAGTGTTGACAAGATGACCATATAGCAATATAATAATCAGCACCTTCCCTCCCTCACCAAATGAAGCTACCAGTACAGCCACTGGAGTTGTTGGCCTAAGGGGTCCCCTGGAAATCTCAGAATGTTGCCAACACAATAGATTGCTCTTTGCAAACTGACAGCATGACCTCATGCTGAAGACAACACCCACACAACTCACTGAACATGCAGGTAGAACTGGGCCCACATAGAACCTTCACCTCTAGTGGTTTGGGTATGGGAAGGTACTTTCTAGACTACCAAAAAAGAAACACAAATCCAGCCACAAACCATTTGATCTACAATTTATCCTGCCTGCAAAATATGCCAGGGCAATAGTGGCACAAAGCTGTGGGAGTACCAACCAATGTCATTTGACTTAAGGTCTACTCCATGAGATGAAATGTATGCCCAACACTGGGTGACCAAGAACCAGACACTAGATAGCCCAGAGACCTAGGATAAAACCAAATACTACTGGATTTTTTAAAAAAGTATCAATAAAATAACTGCGAATGATATTCTGCTATACTCATAGAATGGTGCCTTATTCAGCCACCCACAGAACGGCTTCTTCCTGCAGCAGATGGTAAGAAATAAAGAGAACCGCAGCCAGACATATGGAGCAAGTCTAAATGGGATGTCTCCATCAATCCTACTCAGAGCTCAGAAAACCCTGCAGAAGAGGAGGCAGAAAAAGGATAAGAGCCGAAGAGGAGGGAGAACACCAGAACAAGGCCCTCTGAATCAACTAAGCAAGGCTCACATGAACTCACAGAAACTGCCACAGCAAGCACAGGGTCTACACAGGTCTCCAACAGGTCCTCTGCATATGTATTGTAGCTGTCAGCCTAGTACTTTTTGTGGGTGTGTGAACAGGTGGGTCTCTGATTCTTGTACTTCCTTGGGTCCCTTTTCCTTCTGTTGTTTTGCCTTGTTTAATATGATTGCTTTTGTTGTAGCTTATTATTTTGTTATAAAAACTATTGAGATGTAAGAGAACAAGGAGAAGGAGAAAATTAACCAGGCATGAGTTCCCTCCCATGGAAGTAACCTCTAATAGTCAGAAATGGCTTGTTTGGCGGCCCATAATAGTTATTTATAAGGTACATGTTGCCTGATAGGTCACTAATATAGTTCATAGGACATGTAATTAGGTAAGACTTGATGTTTCTTCCCTTTTATCCTGCATAACTACTTCTGATATTAGGAATGCTAGTCATTAGGGATACATCTTTCAATTCAAACTTGATTTCTATGTGTGATGGAAGTTTTGGTTTCTTTATAAACTCAGTTATGTAAATATACTTTTGTTGTCATCCCAAGTGTGGGATTTTAGTTGGGCTCTAGTTTGTCCACACCTGTTAACTGTCACTTATGGGGCATGATCTTTTCCAGCTGGTAACGGCCACCCACATGTGGCATGGAGAGGGGTGTGGCCTAGGACTCAGAGTCAAGAAAGAGGAGGTGTGTGTGGTGGCACATGGTGGTGGCATGTGGCATGGAGCTGTTTGCAGAGACCATAGATGGTGTGGCAGTTTGGAGCAGACAGATGGAGAGAAACGCTTTGGGGCGCAGTGGCATGGAGGAGCCTGATGGGAGCGTTTGTTGTTGATGGAGATTGCTACAGAGCCCTAAAAGAACCACTCGACCCTAACTAGCAGGGAGAAGTAAAGCAGTCAGGGACCCCTCTCCCCACTAACCTTTTCTCTCTCTTGGGGGGTTGGGAGAGGGAATAAAGGCCTAAACACCCCAAAGAAAGGAGTTTTTCAAAAGACCGATACAGGTAATGCCCAACATGGTTGGTAAGATAAAAGCGGCTACCAAGTGACACGCAGATGTGGCTTAGAAATAATGGGGAATTGGTTTTTGGTGCCGCACAGGAGACAGCAAGTTATGAAGGAGTGAATACTGTTTAAAGGTGTCACTAAGGTTTGTAACAGTAGCTGCTGCCGGCTTCTCTCAAAATGCTCCCAGAGGGAATTTTTCCTTTTTTTTTTTAATCTTTCTATATTCTGTTTTTAAAAAAGATTGAAAGGACAGGGGGAAAAAATCAGAGTAAGAGGAAATCAGGACAGATAGAGGCACAGAAAGTAGAAAGGAGGGACATTCAGTTTGAAAGGATGTTGGCTGAGGAGGAAGGGTGCTTTCTCTGCCTCTCTGAGCTAGTAGGCTTTCCCCCCAGCCTCTGGCCTCTAAGGCTTTATTGATAAAATGAAACATTTGATCTTATATTAAAAACAATAATTCTGTACAAAAAAAAAAAAAGATTGGAAGAATGGTGGATGAGATACAAAAACCGAGGTGTCTGTCACTCAAGTCTGTTGTTCTGGGAAGGATTGCAGAGTTGGCAGTTCAACAGGCAAGTTTACAGGTAGAGGCTGATACACTTAGGAAGCAAACAGCACCACAGAAAAATGGGAGTTTACCCGCTTTTGCCACCACCCCCTTCATGCACCAGGAGTTCAGAGCACCTGCGTATGGTTGGGGATTGGAGGGGAGGAAGAGGAAGTAGAGCAGGACAAAACAGCTCTGCAGCCAAGTGCTCTGCTAGAGGAACTGCCTTCGTCTACACAGACAGCATCAGCTTTCCCAGTCTTTGTGCAATGTACGCCTGCTAATGATGGTGAGGCTTACAATGATATGGCATCCAAAAGAAATGCTAGCTCTAAGCATTTTAAAGAGGCTATCGTAAGGCATGGAATGCATTCAAATTTCCTTAAACAAACGTTAAGTAACTGGGCTATGCAAAAAAAAAAAAAAAAAATAGACTTATTCCCCAAAACTGGAAAGTGTTGGTGTCAGCTGTGCTAGAAGCTGGTCAACAGTACAATGGTTACTGTGGTGGAGAAATGAAGCCACAAAAATAGAACAAGAAAATGTAACAAGAGGGATAAATGTTAAAGATCAGCTGCTTGGTGAAGGGCATTATGCTGACTTATGAGAACAAATCCCAGCTGATGTTGTAACTGAACAATGGCATGTTGCAGCGATAAGAGCATGGGATGTGGCTGAGGAGCCTGGTAAAACAACCACCTCAGGTAATTCAAGGCCCTTCACCCACTCCTTACAGAGATTGGGTTCAGCTCTAAATAGAGCTGTACCAGACCCTGAGATCAAACAGATGTTGACACAGATCATGGCTTATGAGAATGAAAAATACTGAATGTAAGAGAGTATTCAGACCATTAAAATTACGAGGAGCCCCAATTGATGGATAAAAGAGACAGCTGGTATTGGCTCTCAAGAGCATCATGCCAATATCATAGGACAAACCCTAGCTAGAAGTCTCAAATCAAAATGCCGGGTGCTTTAATTGTGACTAATTTGGCCATTTCCAAAGAAATGGTAAGGCTAAAAGCTCCATAGGCTTTCATGGCTCTAAAAGCACTTAGAAAGAAAGAAATGAAGTCCTCTCACACTCCTTGGATTTATTGTGCCTTTCTAAGGATTCCTGATTTCACTGTTCAAATGTGGTGTAAACTCTGAGCTGTATGTGGACAGATCAATGAGAATTTCTCCAAACAATTGAGTATTATGTTACGTGGGCTCTGGGAATCAAACTCCGATCCTCAGGCTTTAGGGGAAATTCCTCTATTCACTGAGACAATTTTGCCCCCAAAACATCTTGCTTCAAAAAAAATATATTTTAAAGTAAAAAGCACAATATCTATGTAAGAAATTTTACTATTAGAAAATCCAAGCATACACAGAAATGTAAGAAAACTGCCAATGAATTAAGAATAGTAAGAAAAACATAATCGGCCACGTAAGGACAACTGAAAACACTAACTAACAAGCAGCCGATTTTCAATTTCAAATGAAGCACAATTATTCAAGTCTACTAGCACTTACAAAGCACTTGAATTCCATGAGTCAAACACAGTCTCACACGAAACAGAAAACGTTATTACCCCTGCGTTTCAGAAGATGTCCACTAAAGTAAGATGGACCGCCTGAGCTTGGCGGCACACACCTTTAATATCCATCCCCTCTTGGGAGGCAGAGGCAGTCTGTGTGAAACCAAGGCCAGCTCGGTCTACACAGCGAGACCTTATTTCAATACTAAAACTATTTAGCAAATTAAAAGACATTGCTTCAACATATGTAGTTTATGCTGTTGCTATTGTTCTTCGATACAGTATTTTGGTGGCCTCAGTGTTCCAAACAGCAGAGAGGACAGACAAAATCATGCCAACATTTTCAATTTCCACAAAACCAGAAAACATTTGCTCAGTGTTCAAATTTCTTACTTTTACAACATACAGAAGAAAATTCCCTTTCACATTATTTGAGACAACATACAGCTTATATGCTTAATGCCGAATTCTTCATTTGGCTGAAATGAGTTCCTGCCTCTCCCAGCTGTGTTCAAATTCACTGTATTCAATTTTGCAATTCCCTAGCTTCTACTACCCTCGTGAGTAAAAGGCACGAAGCAGGGCCAGCAAGGTTCCTCAGCAGGTTACGGACTTGTTTTGAAGGCAACTTGACTGCGACAGTAGAGAACAGAACAGACCTTGTTTCTCTGTGTACACGCTGGCATGTGGGTGCCCATGCACATAAACCTACACAATGCACTGTTCATGAACCGCAGAACCGGTTTCCACTCAACTTCAGTTTCCATAGGTGTGCAAAGTTACACATTTTCACGTCTCCTATTCCACCTATTTCTTTCCAGCCTAAAGAATAATTACATTTATGGGGCTGGAAAAGTGGCTCTGCAGCTTAGAGTACAGATACCGTTCTTCCAGAGGCCCAGCTGGCCCACCCTCACATGCACACATCCACACACCTACACAGAATTACAAATAAAAGACAGCATTAAAAGTGGATTTGAAAGCCAGGCAGTGGTGGCGTACACCTTTCATCCCAGTATTCAGGAGGTAGAGGCAGGTGGATCTTTGAGTTCAAAGCCAGCCTGGTCTACAAAGCAAGTTGCAGGATAGACAAGGCTACATAGTAAAACTGTCTGAAAACAAAAAAGTATTTTCAATTATTCCATTTATTTATACACCTGTGGGAGGATGCTGCAAAGGAAGGCAGGTGTGCAAGCCAGAGGAAAACTCTGGAGACTCAGCTCTCCCTCCACATGGGTTCTGAGGCTCCGCCTCAGGCTATCAAGCTTGGCGCATGCTTTCACCCCTGAGCCATCTCACTGGCCTTGCACACAGTTTTTACATAACAGCAGGTTGACCAATGACAGTTCCATTATTATGTACGCTGTTTCATATGCTACCCACTGGGTTTCTTTTCAGTGTGAGCTCTTTCATGTTTGTGGAGGCATGTGGAAACTCTAAATGCTTTTCCACAGTAATTACATATATAAGGTTTTTCTCCAGTGTGAATTCTCTCATGGTCACGAAGGGATGTGGAAATCCTAAATGCTTTCCCACATTCCTTACAGACATATGGTTTCTCTCCAGTGTGAATCCTCTCATGATTATAACACGCATCCCGTTGGATGAAGGCTTTCCCACAGTGCTTACAAACATAGGGTTTCTCTCCAGTGTGAATTCTCTCGTGGTTGTTAAGATGACTGGCCCGGAGGAAAGCCTTCCCACAGTGCTTACATACGTAGGGTTTCTCTCCAGTGTGAGTTCTCTCATGAATGTAACGAGCACTAGAGTGGGTGAAGGCCTTGCCACAGTGCTTACATAGGTAAGGCTTCTCTCCAGTGTGAATCCTCTCGTGCCTCCGAAATGATGTGGAACATGAAAATGCTTTCCCACACTGTGTACAAACATAGGGTTTCTCTCTAGTGTGAATCCTTTCATGACTGTACCAGCCGCTATAATGGGTGAAAGATTTGCCACAATGCTCACATGTGTAAGGCTTTTCTCCACTGTGAATTCTTTCATGGATGAGAAGATCATAGGAACGAATGAAGGCTTTTCCACACTGCTTACATACATAGGGCCTCTCCCCACTATGAATTCTTTCATGGTTCTGGAGTGATGAGGAATATCTGAACGCTTTTCCACACTGCTTACATGTATAACATTTCTCTTCCGGGAGAATTATTTCATGCTTAATAATATGACTAGAAGTGAGCAATGCTTCGCCAAACTGCTTACACAGAAACGGTTTCTCTCCAATGGTGATTCTCTCATATATCTGAGCATAACTGGGCCTCCAGAAGGCTTTCTCAACTTGCTTCCATTCATGGAGTTTATCTCCAGTGTGAATTCTCTCACAATACTGATCAGAATTACCACTGCTGTAGGCTTCATTAGACTGCTTACTTCGGTAGGGTGTCTCTGTAGGAGTACTTTGATTTGTCTGAATGGACTCAGAATAAGTGGAACCTTTCCAACATTTCTCATGTATAAATGCTTTCTCCACATGTTCTTGAGACCCACATGTTTTCTCTGTGGTCTCACATTGCACATGCAAGGGTGAATGAACAGTGATGTCTCTTGCAAGCACACTGTTTTCACATACTGTCACTGCAGGATGCATGTCTCTATGAACAATATGCTCTGCAATCCATTTCTGGGTCTCTCCACACTGAATACCATCTCCATAGTCACAATTCCTCTCAACGACCTGAATTCTGCAAAATAGAGAGAAAAAAACCATGTAAGTAGACTTTTCTAACTCACCAACAGAAGTGCTGGAGGCCGGATGTGGTGCTGCTGTTATTACAGTGATCTGCAGGCAGCAGGAGAACAAGCTGGTATAAAGTCCCCGTGGCCACGCACAGACTCCCGAGCGAGGGAGGATGACACTTCTGATTTTGCTTCTCTAAGAATCTGCAAATATGAATGAGCTGAACAATCAGCCCCGGTCCTGAAGACAGTATGCAAAGTTCTTAAATACTGCCGTTTTTAGGCGTTTCATAAATACTGTGTGTGCCCCAGTTAACAAAGCTGAATATTCCTAATGAAAAATGGTGTGCATCGAACATTATGGGTTTTGAAACAGCTGAACATATTTTATGTGATTTACGGACAACAGGTTTCGATCTAAACCTGAAATTCACTTTACTGAACACACCTTATATCCAAAGCTAAAAGGTAACTTGATAAACTACGGTAAACAATTTTCTGTATAAAGGACAGTTTGAGCACAATGAAAAACCAAAACAAGTCTTACATAGGTTAATGCTACACTACATTTTGGCAATATTCATACACTACAGAGCTGGCCACCTCTAATTAATTGTCCATATTCCCGCTCAGCATGCTGTAGAGAAAATTTGAAATTAAATCAATTGCACTGAGAGGGACTGGATCATTTGCTTGGTTCTCAGATTTCCTATCACTTGCAAAAATTTGACATAAATTCCTCTCTCTTTTGAGTGTACATTACCTCACATTTTTCCTAAGATTTTGGTGGTTGTCTTCAATGTTTTCTTTTTCCTCTGTTTTCCCTAAAAAGAAAACCCAAAAGAATCATGATTTAATTGAGTGTCATACAAAAATTCACTAAATTCAACATTTTGTTATTGTCCAGTCTGACCAGGAATGCTACATTTACCATCAAGCTCCCTTCTAATATCCATATAGTTGAGCAAGACACAGCTGTTCTCTAACTGAAAAGTAAAGAAATCAGTGTGTGTGTTTACCTATGGAGATCAGGTTCATAAAGGTTTCTGTCATCACATCTCTGTAGAGCTTCTTTTGACTGGAATCCAACAAAGCCCACTCTCCTAGAGTGAAGTTCACGGCCACATCCTCAAAGGTCACTGGCTCCTGAAATAATCCACATGATGGGAAGTCAAAAGTTAACTGCCAACTTGACAGGAGCTAGAGTCACACAGAAGCTAAGATGTTAGGATACTTGTAAGTATGCTGAAAGCAGGGGTTAACTGGACACTTTTGACAGGAGCTTGGCACAGAAGAACACTTAAAGAAATAAAAACTGCCAATGCCTGGCTCAGGAGGCTTCAAAGGGAAACTAGGAAACCGGGATAGAGGCTATTTGTGCTTTATTTTAACCAATATTTGGCTTCATTCAGCCCAAAGCCTGACAACCTGAATGACGTTGAATTTAAAGAAAATGAAATAATCTGACATAGAAAACGAGTGTGAACAGCTTACTGTTTTGGACAAGGAGAATACAGATAACAAAACAGCATGACTAGCATTGTGGACTGGAACAATGCTGAGGCAGGCCAGCACAGTGATGTATTAGCAAAACGAGACTCCACTTGACTTAGGCTATGCAAACACCCATCTGGGAGCCTATCAACCTATGCACCTATCAACCACTTAGCAACCTAGAAGCCCCACATTCATCAGGAAACATACACTTGGTTTATAAAATAAAAACACTCCTCTTCCTACCATATTTCTATTTAAATAAATTCTGCAATGCTTTAGGAACCTATGAGCAATGGACTTATCTGCCATGAATTACTTTTGGGAGCATGCACAATCATCAAATTATGTTCATAAAACTCATCTCTGGGGATATTTATGTTGCTTATCATAGCTGGACTAGCATCAAACAAACAACCATCTGTACATGATACACACTATAGTAATTAAACTTCTTTTCAACCACTAAAAAGAGGCCTCAAACAATAATTTCAGCCCTTGAGAATCTCCCCTCCTGTGGCCTCCTTTCATTCTTCACGGTTTCTTTCTGGCCTGTATTATGGCTTTTCTAGACCTGGCTACTTTTGCAAATCTATGAGGATTATTATTTCAACAGTTTAAACCTACAAGTCATGACCTCCTTGGGAGTTGATCAACATTTTCACAAAACTATCTGAAAACAGGTATTTACATTATGATTCACACCAGTAGCTAAATTACAGTTATGAATAGCAACAAAAATAAATTTATGGTTGGGTATCACCACAAGATTAGGAAGTGCAGTAAAGGATCACAGCACTGGCGACGCTGAGAATCACTGGTTTAAACAGAGGCAAGGAACTGAGAATGGGGGTGGGAGACTTGGCTCAGCACTTAAGGTTGCTCTTCCACGGCCCACGTTCAATTCAGCACCCACATGGCAGTTCACAAGCACTTGCAACTCCGGTTCAGGGGATCTAACACCCTCTTCTGCCCTCTGCTGACTACTTCATGGGTGTGGTGCACATACATATACTCAGGCAGAGACACATAAACTAAAGTAAAACAAAATAAAACAACTTGAAAACACCCAGTTCAGACACCCATCTACAAGTAACACATTTGGCAACCCTCACAGGGAGAGAAAAAAAGTCTCTCACTACTAAAACTTCCCCTCACTATTTTCTAACCATTGTTAATACTGCAATGGCTAATCAAAATAATCAATACTCATTTGGTCAAAGAGTCATCAAGGGCTGAAGAAATAGCTCAACTGTCAAAGGCTAACAAACTCATAAACAGAGAGACAAAAAGGCACCAAGCTGAGGCTACCCTGCCTAAGTCAAGAACAGAACGGCTGAGAACAGATGTTCTCTGCCAGCTGCTTCACTGGCATAGAAAAGACAGGAAGATAAAATCAAAGAGGGCAGCAACTTTCTCTGGTCAAACATGAAGAAAGAAACATTCCTGCTCCTGTCCTTAGGATGGCTTCTGCTCAGTGGAGCTGTAGAAACCTAAGTCTAGTCATGCAGAATTTATAGAAAATGTTTCTCCCTCTCTCTGCTTTCCATTTTTTCTTTTTATTTGAAGTGATTCTGTGACATTTTGCTATCCCAAAATAAAAATACAGGTCCTCTGGATTCTCTGAAATTACTTCTGCTCTTTGGCGCAGACCTTTGCCCATAGCTGACTGAATGTTTTAAGTTATTCTTGGGCTAGGCATGGTGGCACAGGCCTTTAATTCCAGCACTGGGGAGGCAGGGGTAGTTGATCTCTGTTGATTTTGAGGACAGCCAATGCTACATATTGAGACCCTGTTTAAAAAAAAGAAAAGAAAAAAAAACCCATTAAGAACATTTGTATAAGCAGGCGACAAGAGGGAAAGAAGGAGACAAGGAGGAAAGAGGGATCGGCAGGTGCCTCCCGATCAAAGCACTGGAAGAGACTCACTGGGCCAAGTTAATTCCCTGCCTTAATCAGGACACGCTGTACCAAGATCAGTTCTTCTGCCTCCTAATGCCACATCTGCTCTCTGGACCAAAGCAAAACTCTATTGCTACTTTTATTTTGTTTTTCCCAGTCTGGTTTTCATTTTCCTTTTTTCTGTTCTCACATGTGTCTGGCATGCCACTGTTAAGAGTAGTTCTGACACTCAAATTGGAGACAATCAGGTGACAACAAACACACACACACTAAAAATTTTTGTGGGTAGATTACTTGTGAAATTACAAAGGAATATAGAGACAACCATATCAAATCACTAGGGGCTCAGGAGGAAAACTGGTCCTGAGATTGGAAGAAACCAGGTAACCACTCCCAAAGCATGCTGGGAAGTTTATGTCAACCTGACACACGCTGGACTCATCTGAGATGGGGGAAATTATCTATAAAGAAAGGATAGTGGCATCCCTGGTCTGGTGGTCCTGAATGCTGTAGAAAACAGCCTGAGCAAGGCATGAGAGCAAGCCAGTAAGCAGCACCCCTCCACGGCCTCTGCATCAGCTCCTGCCTCCACCTTCTCATCTGGTTTTGGTTCCTGCCTCGGCCTTCAATGGACTGTGATTCAGGATATGTAAGCCAACTTAAACCTTTCCTCCCCAGGCTGCATTTGGGCATGGTGTTTCATCACAGCAAGAGAAACCCCTAACTAGGACACATGGCAGAACTGTTCTCCTAAGCCCCATCCTCCAGACAGCAAGCCGCTGACTGGGGAGTCTTTGGTTGTCTGAGACCTTTTGGTCTTAGTTAGGGTTTCCATTGCTGTGAAGAGACAGCATGACCATAACAACTCTCAGAAATGACAACATCTAACCGGGGCTGGCTTACAGTTTCAAAGGTTTAGTTCACTGTTGTCATGGTGGGAAGCATGGTGTTGGAGCTGGAGTGCAGAGTTCTGTATCTTGACCTGCAGGCAACAAGAGCTGGTGTACCACACTGGGTGCGGCTTGAGCATGCTATGACCTCAACGCCTGCCTCCATAGTGACACACTTCCTCCAACAGGGCCACACCTACTCTAATAAGGCCACACCTCCTATGAGTGCCACTACCTACCACCAAGCACTCAAACACATGGGGCCATTTCTAGCAAACCACCACAACTTCCCCGGGTTTTAATCCTTTCACCTTTAATGCTTCTGTTGCCTTTCCCAGGTGCAGGGTATAAGAATTAAGAGCCATTAGGACATCTGCCACTAGAAGGCCACCAGGGCTAATGCATCCTCTAGCATCACCAGCTCACATATCCTGTCGTTTCTGTATCATAAGACAGCACAACTCCACCAATTAGTGAAAAATAAACATTGTATGGATTTCCAGTCTTTGATTTCCTACCAAAACCCTGAGGAAAATAGCATTTTGGAGCATAGCATTTTTCTTTTTTTTTAAATTAAATTTATTTCTTTTTATTTTGTGCACATAGGTGTTTTGAATGCATGTATATTTATGTGAGGGTGTTAGATCTTCGTACAGATAATTGTGAGCTGCCATGTGGGAGCTGGGAGTTGAACCTGGGTCCTCTGGAAGAGCAGTCAGTTCTCCTAACCACTGAACCATCTCTCCAACCCAGAGCAAAGCATTTCATTGACTTACTCAATAGGCAGACTGCCTGCCAGGCCCCTTGTTTTTTTTTTTTGTTTGTTTGTTTGGTTGTTTGATTGGTTGGTCATTTGTTTGTTAGTTTACTTTTCATTGTGTAGCCTTAGCTATCCTGGACTCACTTTGTAGACCAAGCTGGCCTTGAACTCAGCATAATCAACTGCCTCTGCGTGCACTACCATGCCCAGCTGTCAAGACAACCTCTTAATCATTGAGCCATCTCTCTCTAGCACCAACCCTATGCTCAGAATGATTATAAGTGTACAGTCCTAAGTGTGGATACAATCTTTCAACCAACTTTCCTTCAGCCACCCAATACATAAGGCAGTGCCTTTCAAAAGACATCTATTATAGGATTATGTGCTTCAACAGGAGCCAGGATGAAACAAAAGTTATTGTCTCCATGAGGAATACTGCAGTCATGAAAGGATAGATTAAGGAACTCACAAAGAGATGGAAATAACGCAAAAGTATAACATCTATTACAGATGCTCAGCATCCAAAGCAGACTGGAATTCCACGTGGGTGTGTCCCTGAATCTATATCCTGATCCTCCCTCTCTCAGGGGGAAATCACCCATTTCAAAGAAAACTACGGATGGTTTTCCATTTCCTCTTTCCTGTTACAGGCTGCCATAGGAAATGCCTTGTCTGTAGTGTCAAATTTCCTCCACCTGCCCAAAGTCTCAGGTATATCAGTAATCACTGGCAAAAGTCTGACACAGACAAAAGCGTTAACACTACCTAGACGTAGCACAATCTGGAGCCACAGAGAAATGATCCCAAAATGGCAGCCTCAATTACAATACTATTTTATGCCTAGACCTTTTCTGTAGAAGACAAGGATAATGGTGAGATTTCCTATGTTCAGGCCATCGTGGTCCTCTGCTGAGACTCCTCTATTTACCAAGAGATCTGGGAAGTCGAAAAAGAAGGGAACTCCAAACTTGACCTTGATATGCGGATTATCCATGCCTGAGTAGTCTGTGTCTCCAAGGAGAATCCCTTACCACCCAACCCTAAGGTTTCATCAATCCAAAAGCTACAGATGCCATCAGACAATCTCTGAGATCTACAAT